TAATTTTTTTCTTCAGTCAGTTCAATTCTTTTGACAAATTAGTTTGTAAAGGAAAAGATCAAGAACCATGGGTGTTGGGCACTTAGAAGATGTACCGATAGGAAAGCAGCCATTGGCAAGTGTAGCTCATGTACCAACGTGGAGAAGGCACGTCAAATAGTTGTGTGTGTTCCACGAGTCGTTTTTTTCTAGCGTAACCCATTTTGCGACCCAACTAATGTGGTTCAGCATAAGCTTGATCTAGGTCTGTTTTTACTGTGGTAAAATCTGAATGGCCCAATTTAAGTTCGAACAAAAATAGAGAAAATAGGGGTGGAATATTCTTTAAATAATAAGAGGAAAAGTGAATGAAAGTGACTTTTAATGTTATTTTTTAAGTTTCCAGCTTTAAGTATGAATGTGAATGGTCTCTCACGAGGCATTATGTTCCTAGTCATTTTATAAGTTGGCTAGTGTGTGGTGGAATAAAATGAAGAATAATGTTATTTATCATTATGGTTATATAGCATCGACGATGTGACAATCTATGTGGAATAGTAAGACAGTGCAACTCAATTTTTATGAGAGAAGGGGGAGGAGAGAGAGAGAGAGAGAGAGAAATATTAGAGATAATGGGTTGCCGCATCACCAATATTCCATCATCACGATGATAAAAGCATTATTCTAAAATGAAATGGATATTGTCTTTAAAGAGTTTATGAACTCTAGTTTCAAGCCGAATCCAATATTTGTGGAGTAAACATTACCATTTGCATATTACATTAATCCCAACTGAAGTTCAGAACATCCTAGGACTTGTAGGGGTAGCGTTGTCAGTTATTTGGTATCTGCTTTCTCAATAAAATACCTAAAATTCGGTATGAGGATGATTCATAAAAGTGACGTGCTCTAGAAAAAAAATCATTTGTTGAATGTGTGTCGGATATGAAATAAAAGTACAACAATATTTGAAGAATACTCAATATTTTAAACTGCAACATAGACAATATTTGAAGAATATTTTTTTTTTTAAACTCCAACATAGTAGATACTCATATGGTACTATGATATATAGTACTCAAGAATTTTTAATGCATTAGTAAATACGTTTTATTATTGAGAGTGCACATGTTTCTTGAAAATACTCTTAATAACTTAAGATTTGAAGATCCATTAGAGCTTTAATTAGATAACGCTAAAAAGAAGCTTAAAAAATTTCTGGGATAAATTATTAAATTGTTGACAATCGGTATCTATTATATGATTAATTGTGATAGTTATCAATGTTTAAGACAAAGAATATGGTGAGTTTTGGCATATATATCAAAGGCATAATACCATAGAGCAGTTGATCTCGAATAGTCTAATCTTTATAGATTATGTGAAATAAAAAGAGAATCTAGCGGATTCAGTACTATGTCTCAAGTAGAGATCAAGTGTATTGAATATCTAGGGGAATGAGCTTAAAACTTGTTACATAAGGATTTTTATAATGTTAAACCCACCTTGCTAATTGGAAATCTCAAGATCTTGATCAATGAATAAGTTAAATTAGGAAGGTTCCATGAGCATTTTGGTAGTTAACTTCTACCCATTCATATTATAAGAAAGTGCTATATGCAAAGTATTCAGGGTCTGATACTAGGGGATTCGGGATACTAGTACTCTTTTCATCATCATATTTTTATAAAACTTGTATTAATTTTAATTAAGTTAGGTTTTGCATTCATAAGTTGATTATTATATTATAATTTAGTTATAAAAAAATTACAAATTTCAATTGTTTTGGTTAAGGTTAAGGTTAAGTTAATTCGAACTTGAATTAATACAATCTCCATGGGAATGATACTTGTACTCAAAATTCATTCTACTACTTGTTAACGAATCATAGACTTGTGGTGATTTAAATCGAAAAGATTTCGCAACAAATTTTTGGCGCCGCTGCTAAGGATTGTATTTGAGTTTAATTTTATTTATTTTGGCACTAATTCGAACTTTTTGATTTTATTTTATTTTCTTCTTTATCAATTTATTTTAGTGCTTCTATTTTCTCCTTTACAAGCATTTTATGTGAAATTCGAGAAACGATGAATTGATACGAGCTCATCCGAAAATCAAACGTACTTTTCACTGTAGACAAAGAGAAGCAAGAGAAGCATAACAACTAGAGATGGCTAAGGCACCGAATAATCCGGTTATTCAAGTGAATGAAGAGACAGTGGTCGATAAAGAAATATGCTATTTGGGGTCTTCATGACTATATAAATTATTTAGAGCCAATTTAGTATGTTTATCATCTCTTTGGGCAGCCAAGCTTTCAGCTGAAGACCAATGTTATCCATTTATTCAGAATGGACATCAATTCTATGGTAAGGCTGATGAAAATCCACAAACACATGTGTCTCGATTTTTGAAGATGTGTCAACACTTTAAACATCAAGTGGTTTCAGATGATGCTATCAGATTGAGATTATTTTGACATACTCTACGGGATAGAGCACTTGAATGGTTAGACTCACAACATATTGCCAATATCACCACTTGGAATGACTTAGCTTAAATATTTTGTACAAAATTCTTTCTACCGATGTAGATAGCAAAGTCGAAGCATGACATATCAATATTCTGTCAAGGAGAAACCGAATCCTTTGATGAGGCTTGGAACAGATTCAAAAACATGCTTCAAAAGTGTCCTAATCATGGCATTAATAAAGGGCTCTAGGTCCAATATTTTATGCAGATCTACTTCCATCCTAAAAAAGCATGGTGGACTAATCATCCAATGGCTCTTTATCCATGAAGAGAATTGATAAAGCATTGGAGTTGTTTGAGAGAGTGGCTACCACTACAAGAAAAATGAGCTTTTGCAACACTTAAAAGACAACATTCATTCTTAAATGTTGCTAATTCACTACAACAAAAATCGGCTTTTGCAACGTTTGAAAAACGTTGCTAAAACCTTTTTGCAAAGTTTGTGCATGTGTTGCGGGATTCAGTTTTACCGTAGACCATAAGGATATGGCAACGTTTATACAACGTTGCAAAAGCTAAATACAAACGTTGCGGAAAGTCATTTGCAACGTTTTTTAAACGTTACAAAATTCAAGTTTTTGCAACGTTTAAGAAACATTGAAAATGACCTTCCGCGACGTTTTTTAAACGTTGCAAATAACTTCCCGCAACATTTTTTAAATGTTGTCGTAATGTTTTAACGTTGTTTACTAAGTGTTGTCGTTACTTTCATTATGGACTTTTTGCAACGTTTTTTAATTGTCGCCGTTACTCTTCCGCAACATTTTTTCAATGTCGCTGTTCCTCTACTGCAACGTTCTTTAAATGTTGTCGTTCCTCTATTGCAACATTTTATAAATGTTGTCTTAAATCAATTTATAAATTGAACGAACCTTTTTACAACATTGTTTTAACG